ACTCCTGGTACATACCAAACAGACAGATTGTTGTGTTAGGGAGTTCATCATTTACATTTTGTTTAATACAGACGTTTTCTCTGTTAAAAGGGAGTTGTTTCTTGTTTCTTTTCATTTTCACCACTATGCTGCTCAGGAYGGGAGACTGCAGTGAAATGAGGTAATAAGGTCTGTGAATGTTTTTGTTCAGCGCCCTGAAATTAATCTTTTTGTGAATTAATGCTATGTAAAGTTTGCTAACAGGTTATGTACCATTGGTGTGACTCATTTGTTTAACATCACAACACAAACAAAACCACTTCTCATTTCTGCTGTTTTCTAATAAGATGAGCTTTGTTCCTAAAAGACTGAAAAATGTGTAATTATTTTTTGCAACTGCATAAAAAAACATCACGACTTTGTTCAAACCATAAAACTAAAACGCTTTTCAGGTATTGGTCAGTTTTATTTGTTAAAAATGGAGAATTGTGCCGTCGCTCCTGCTATAGTTTAGGTTTGGATTAAATACATCAGCTGATTGATTAATAAAAACTAGGATGAAGAAGTTTTACATCACCAAAAAACAGTAAGTCTGCTGTCTTTCGCTTTAATTTWGTTTTTCATTTGTATTATTCCCAACGATTATCATTCAGTCAACATGAACTAGCATGATGGGATGTACAGCAGATTTAAGGAGCACAACAAAACTATCTGAATATGTTTTATTTCACATTAAACACCAGAGAAAGGCTGCAGGGTCTTAAACAGAAACATGGCCCCCCTTTAGAGACACCCCTGATAACTCAGATAAGTTTATAATAAAATGAGTTAATTTAWCTTTTCTGATGACACATATTAAACAGATTCATCACAGAGATAAGTCACTGAAACACCAGAGCGAGTTTTGATTCCTGAGCTAAGATTAATTTATTAATTTATCTTACATCTGCTCGTGGTAAGTCACGTGATGCTTCCTGTTTGACCACAATAACAGAAAACTCCCGTTTTGTCATAAACTAACGGTAYTTGCTAGCTACTCTGCTGCTACTAAAAACGTAATAGCGATTTATTCATGTTTATATTTCAAGACAGTTACATGCTAGCTGTGTTTAGCTCGCTTTAACGCCTGACAGAAAAGAAGAAAAACACAATTAAATCCACTCACTTGGCCGATAACGTGTTGATGGATCCGGTTATTAGCATGAGTCCCGCGAGGAACAGCTGGTAGTTTGTCCAGGCCATGTTGGACCAGTGAGACAGGAAACACACCGAGGTGCTCTGTGTGTGTTCAGCTAACCCGGGTTGGTTTATTATCGCGCTTTCCGGTGAGATTTCTGTCCGTGAACACCACATGACAAGTGTCAGCTGACCCGCTGTGCAAACACCGCGGTGCGTTCAATGACGTCCGGTGGTGTTGGAAAAAAAAAGTGTGGTCAAGTCTTTCAAATCTCGATTAAAATGTGAAAATTTAAAGTCGTTTCCTTTCACAGAACGTTCWTTTACTGAAGAAGCAACCTGGTTATGACTTTATACACGGAAGAATTAATTTGTGATTTATTTTAACAGAGATGCAACCTTGAACCTACCAAAAAGTGCCAAAACTATGTTGTTTGTAATTTGGGTAAAATTTTTATAAACATTTAAGAACGTTTTTATATCGTTTAGTGTAATTTCTCTTTGTTTAGTATCGTAAAACCTGTGTCTGTACTATTTCCTTTGTTTGTTATATTGTGTTTTTGAGGTAATTTTATATTTTTATGTTATTTTATAGCCTGTCCTGATGCATCTCAGTAATCCAGGTAAAAATTCAAAAAGAAAAAAATAGTATAGGTCTTCTGGACGGGTT